AACAGGGTACCTGGAGAAAGGATGAGTGAGCTAGTTTCATACATGAATCCTAAAGATATTCCTCTCACTCATTAAGAATCCTTTGAAATGCTGGCTTCCTTCCTAATTGAAGGAAATACTCACCTTTTCTTTCTTCTTACCTACCATGGAAAGCCATCTTCCCTTTCAAGCACTCCCAATAAGCAAGATTCCCAGCTCGACTGTTCCCTTCCTATTGAGACTTAACTCAATTCCAGATCTCTGCTATCAGTAAGTAACTTATACCATAAAGTACCCTCAGATCTGAAAACTCAACTTGAGAAGCTTCCCCTGAAACAGATGAGATTTACTCAAGCTAACCTCTGTATATTGACTGTGGCTGTTTCACCCTCATCTGGTGCAACAAAACTTGATTCCCCTATTAGATGTCAAAATGCTGGCTATTCTCTTCCCCAGCTTCTCACAGCTAAGAAGCAGATGTGTCATGTGTGTCCAGTGGGATATAAGCATGTGTATAGAGGACACCTTTCCTATGGTAAGCAGAATGGAATGCTCCTCTTCTACTGAAGACCACCTTAGCCCACAGATAAACATGTATACACATTACCTCACATGACAAAGGGAAATTTACAGGTGAAACTGTGGTAAATATCTTGAGACAGATTATCTTGAATTATTTGTGGGGGAGGGGGGCCATTAACAGACTTATGACTGTTGTTGGTTGTTAATTTGACTAAATATGAACTTAATTAAAACCCAAGTGGCTGGATACACCTATGAGAGTGAGAGATTTTTCTTAATTAAATCATTTGAAGTAGGAAGACCCACTTTTTTGTCTTTCTTTGTTTTTGTTGTTTGTTTTGTTTTGTTTTTTTTTTTTTTTCAAGACAGGATGGGGAACAGCTCTGGCTGTCCTGGAACTAGCTCTATACACCAGGCTGGCTTAAAACTCATAGAGATCCACCTGCCTCTGTTTCCCAAGTGCTGGGATTAAAGGCCTGTGCCACCACCCAGTGGGAAGACCCACTTTTAATTGGCATCTTTTGAGGTCAAAAATTCCACCTTTAACGTGGGCCACATCTTCTGCTGGCAGCCTATATAAAAATCATGGAAGAAGAAAGCTCTCCCTCTTTGACTGTTTGCTCTTGCTCTCGCTGCTAAGTCCAATGCTTCACTGGCATTAGAGCCTACTTCTTTGGGATGCTAATGTATACTGAAGACTAGCTGTAGCATCTAGACTTCTGGATTGAACAAATACTGAATTCTTAGACCTTCTATTGGTAGACAGCTATTGTTGGACTAGTTGGACCACTGTCTGTAAGCCATTTTAATAAAAGCCCTTTTATAGATGGATAGATGGATGGATAGATAGACAGACAGACAGACAGACAGATAGATAGATAGATAGATAGAGATCCATTCATTCATTCATCAGTTCTGCTTCTCTAGAGAGCCCTGACTAATACAGTCATCAAAAGAGTCCTTCAAGGCTGGAGACATGGCTCAGAGGTTAAGAGTAGTCCTGCTGGCTGCTCTTCCAGAGGTCTTGAGTTCAATTCCCAGCAACGCATGGTGCTCATAACCATCAATAATGAGATCTGGTGCCCTCTCCTTGGGCTCAGGCAGAATACTGTATACATAATAAATTAATAAATGAATCTTTTTTAAAAAAGAGTCCTTGTTGGAGCTGTCAAGATGGTTCATCACATTTAAAAAAGAATATTTTTGAACAAGTAATTTTTGTAGACATTTCTCCTTAAGTTTGAATCCAATCTAAATCATTCTTGCATAGGAGAGGAGTAGATTCTGTCCCTCTTTCCTTCCATCCCTCACATTTTTAGGAGAAAGGAGAAAGAAAGGTGCACAGACCCAAGATGCCAAGCCTCTCCAAAGCACCACTGTACTAATATTTGAAACTTTATTGAATCTAATGAAGAAAGGAAGAAACGACACACACTGGCTTCTAATTCTGGAACACAATTTTATCTATGTAAGTTTACTCAAGCACCTCAAATATATCCTCACAAATTAACCTCACACTTTATGTTTTTAATTCTAATGTTAAAGGACCCTTTACCCCAATATTGTTTAAGTTACTGCAGTTTTGTATATATATATATATATATATATATATATATATATATATATATATATGAATGTTAGTTTATGAAGCTTTGGTTCTTACTATGCCTACTTTACTTTGATTTCTTTGATTTTGAAATTTTTTCCACTGGGCTGACCATGGTGGTGCAGGACTTTAATTCCAGCACTTAGAGGCAGAGGCAAGCACTTAGAGGTAAGTAAGTTCAAAGCTAGCATGATAAACATGGATAAACATAGTAAGTTACAGGCCAGCTAGGGCTACATATTGAGACCCTATCTCAAAACAGAGAGAGAGAGAGAAAGAGAGAGAGAGAAGGAAAAAGAAATTATATTGGATTTTTAAGTATGTTATTTATTAACATCCTTTCACCTTTTCCCCAATAGTTACAGCACATTTGTCTGTTTCATTATAAAACAAGAACAACTAAACTTTTGAAATCAAAATTGCTAATCTTCCTTTTGTTTTGGATGTGTGTGATCATTCACAAGTGTGTAACACATAAGTAAACAAGAAAAAAATTCCAGAAAGTAATATTTGATCCATGAAAGGTTCCCCCTCCTGGATATGATTCAATCCACCACTAGGAGCACATCTTAACCTTGAGAGACTATGTAGTCCTGCCCACTCTACAAATGTGGGCACAATCACCAGAACCCACAGGTTAAAGGAGAGTTATTTCCTGACTTCAATACATATGCTGTGGTGCACGAATATACATACGTACAATAAATAAGTATACACTTGTTTCGTTTTTGTTGTTTGTTTTTTCAGAGATAGGATTTCTCTGTGTAGCCTTGGCTGTACTGGACTCACTTTGTAGACCAGGCTGGCCTCAAACTCACAGAGACCCACCTGCCTCTGCCTCCCTGAATTCTGGGAGTTAACCGCACCCAGCTAATGGTAAACTTTAAAAAAAATCAATATTCGGGCCACTGAGATGGCTATGTGATGGCTCCTTCCTACCAGCCTGTCCACCTAAGTTCTATCCCTGGAACCTACATGGTAGAAGGACAAAACTAATTCCTGAAAGCTGTCTTCTGACCTCCATATGCACACTGTGGTATATACACATACACACACTAAACCAAACAAATATGTATTATTATTATTTTTATTATTATTCAAGACAGGGTTTCTCTGTGTAGCCCTGGATATCCTGAAACTCACTCTGTAGAGTAGGCTGGCCTCAAACAGAGATCCATCAACCTCTGCCTCCCAAGTGTGCTAGGACTAAAAGTGTGCACCACCATTGCCCAGATTTAACTTTACTAATACGAATTATTATTAAATAATAATTAGAGGTTTTCTTGGTGGTTAAAACCTGTAATCTCAGCACTCTGGGAGGCAGAGGCAGGTGGATTTCTATGAGTTGGAGGCCAGCCTAGTCTACAAAGTGAGTCCAGGACAGCCAAGGTTACACAGAGAAACCTTTTCTCAAAACAACCCGCCACACACCAAAAAAGAATTAACTTTTAACTGAAAAGAGAACCTGCCTACTTGAAATAATAAAGCTCACTATTGAGCCATAGGGTGAGCCATCTGAATGCACACTGACATCTAAAATGAAACTGTCAGTCAATGGCTATTTTACACAGCTTTGTCACACAATAATAGTTTGCCAAATAGCCAGTTATTAAATTTGAAATATTAACAAAGGGACCAAATTACTTATTCAATGGGGATGCTCTATCTACTAGCTATGAAATTCCAAGGAGGGCTGAGGATTTAGCTCAGTCATCAGAGTGTCTACCTAGTATGCACAAAGCTCTGAGTTCCAATACTAACGCCACATACAGATGGGCATTGTGGTCCACATCTGTAATTCCTGCACTGGGGAGATGGAAGCAAAAGGATTAGAAATGAAGGCTAACCTAATTCAAGAAAAGTCTGGGACATATGAGATACAAGATGAAATGAAATGGATGGATGGATGAATGAACAAAGATTCCAAGGAAGTAGCATGATAATCTGAGTCAATACTGATATCTAAAATTTAACTGAACAACTAAGAACAATATGCAGCCTACCTCAAACATAAAAAGAACCATAGCCACGGATATACACTGTGTTGCTGAGGCCCTACTTCGAAACCTCGAAGGAGTACACAAGCCCTGGATGGAGGAGGATATGTACGAATCAGAATGTCTGGGCTTCCAAGTAAGACAAGATTACTGTTCTAACATCAGTTAGAACAGAATACAAAGAGACCATAGCAATAGAATACTAGATAGTATAAGGAACACAATAGAATTCTTTGTCATTCAGAGATGTCAAGGAAGTTAAAAACATACCGGATTATGGTCAGAGGTAGACTTCAGGTTCCTCCTACTGGATAACATCCAGGCTGCCACTAAAAACAAACCTAATCACAGGTCACTGACATTAGCAGGTCCTACAACCTCTCTGTCTGTAGAATACAACTAACCATGCATCTCTTCAGACCCTGTGTGGACATTTACGTTTAACCTCCCTGGGAGTGATGGAAATTTTAGTTCTCCTCACACACATCCGATCCTCCATTTCCCTTTGTAGCGGGTCTAACACCAGCACTTCTGGCCCACCCCTTGTTAGAAAGAACAACTTCCGGTTCGTTCATGCGCGTTCACTACTATTAATGGGTTCGACTCTCTCCCAGCCTCGGTCTCTGTCCACCGAGGTGCTGGAGCTCAGCAGCTTAGTATCCTCCTTCAAAGGCTTCTTCCTAGTTCTATAGCAACCAACAACACACCTCTACAGAGTTCAGCTTTGCCAGCCAACAGGACGGATGCTGCCTGACTGCAGCCGCTCGACGCTGCGGGGGCGTCTGGGAGTTGTAGTCCGGACCAGTGAGCTGACGCAGTTAGGGGCAGACGGACGGGCCAGCGCCATTGTGTCTTTCGCGTGCATTCGCAGTGCTGCGTGAGAGCCTGAGGGAGACAGCACCCTCCTTCTGTTTTTTTAATTTACGACGTCTTGGAGTCTAGGGTTTGTTGGCGGTTCCACCTCTACGGTCCCGGGAGGAGCTGTGTAGTCGTGGACCCGGATCCTGAGGAGAGACTTCGCGCTCTGGATTTTGGGCACGGTTTAAGAAAACCAACCGCGTTCTGCGTTGGAGGACATCAGCTGTCCCCTCTCGGTTAGAGGGGAACCTGTCTTGTAGGCGTGTGGGAGTCGGGGAGAGGACTCAGTAGACATTTTCCAAGGTGGGGGTGGACTGATCATGTCCCGCTGAGGGACCGGGTATGGGCAGAGATGAGGGAGCAACGGGCCCACATTCCTTAGGGTCGCTCTACTCTCTTTCCATCTTCAGTTTCCTCAGCACTCTGCCTACTTTCACGAGAGAACGTTGAGGAAAGTATGGCTTCCACGCTTCCAGCATCCGGGTCCCATGTGAGTAGAGGCTTCTTTCAGCTTTTGAGTCTGCGCCGGAGGTGGGTTGTCTGATCGTGAGAAGTCTGTTATCAAATAACCTAGAGTGCCCAAGAAGATGGCTAGAATAGAAGAAGAAAGAAAGAAACCTATTTTTGAACTGGGAACTCTGCAGGCCAAATTGAGGCTTTTCAATTAAATTACGTATTTACATAATAATATTACATTTGTTTTTGTGTGGGGGTATGCATGTGTGTGCCACTGCCTTCGTGTAAAGGACAGAGGACAACTTCCCGAATCGCAGCTCTCCTGCCAACATGTGAGTCCTGGAGATACAACCCGGGCTTAGTAGCAGGCACCTTTACCCACTGAGTCATCTCGCCATTCGTTTTCAACCATTTTTTTTTAAAGCTGGGGGTTCGGAAGAGAAACTGGCAAGTGTAGGAAGATAGAAGGCTCGTGTTTACTTTTTCGGCAGCTACTTTAAGGAAGTGACAATTCAATTCAACAACAAGAAAAGAGATGTAGATTGGAACCAACAGCCCTATCCCCTGGGTAATGAGAAATGAACGTTTTTCTAGACTGGTCTTAAGTGTCCTCCATGTTAGTGTCAGACCAACAATTTGCTCAAGGATTCAGATAAACTCCAGATAAGATAAGTAGATGTTACTGTGTCGTCTTGGTCAGCCTTTCCTTTTTTCTGTCACTGTGGAGGAGAAAGACCTGTGGCTGAACAACATCGTTTGGGTTTTAGGAACCTATGAAATTTGAAGATGTAGCACTGACATTTACCAAGGAAGAGTGGGCACAGCTGGACCTCCAACAGAAGTGCTTATATAGAGAAATCATGATGGAGAACTACAGTAACATGATTTCAGTGGGTAAGACAGCCTCCACTTTTAATAAAGTTCTGTTTGGGCCTTGGGTGGGTGGAACACACTTGTAATTCCAGAGGTGGAAGAGGATTGGAAATTAAGAGCCAGTCTTGACTCTACCTCTTTCTTCCCCCAATCCCTCCTACCACCACCACTTGGTAACTTCAAATGTGTGGTACCTCTGAACTGTTTGTGCTTGGGCTTAAGCAGGAGGGACCAGAGTGGAAGCGTCAAGGGAGTGTAGAGCTTGGTAGAGAGAAAAAGGGCAACTTTTCAGTATGTCTTCAGAAGTTTCATCCAGTCGATATATCAGAGCCCCCTGAACACTGGACAGAGTGTATAAGGGATGTTTGTAGCTACAGTGACAGTTGCCTATAATTTTTATGGCACTTCCAACATATGAGATGTCAGTGTCCAGCAGCTCAGGAGTATCATCAAAGATTGTGATTTCTTTGTTGTTCTTAAGGAGTTTTCTGCCTACTCTAGTATTATATAGCTATAGCTCTAAGCTTTATGTCTGTGTTTAGGTAGAAACAAGAACAGTAGATAGTACTGACCAGTTCTTTCTGAACTATCAAATTTAGTAGGGAAGCAAAAGCTTTCCCAGAATACCCGCCAATTGAACAATCTCCCTTTTTTACTTGATGGTACCTCTGCTATCAGGGAAACCCAAGAAACCCAACAAAGGGAATGAATGTGTAGTAGTCACTGCCCAAGGCCTGAAGCCATCATGTCACAGCATGGGCTAAGGAAAGAATAGAGTGCTATAATAGACAGCAGTTTAAGCAGAATCCCCAAGCCCTGTCTCTTTTTCCCTTGAACAGAACATCACTTTTCCAAGCCAAATGTGATATCTCAGTTAGAAGAAGTAGAAGACTTCTGGCCAGTGGAGAAAAAAATTCCTCAAGATACCCTTCTAGGTAAGAGTCAGGCATGTGGGAGTTCCAAAAAGGGATGGGCTTACTGGTTATTCTGAGACTAATGTCTTCCAAGCAGTGTGAGACCCCAGGTAGCATGTTGTAATAAGTATATTATTTTCGGATCTGCAGTCATCTTTTCTCATGGTGCTAGTGATTAATAAGCCCAGGGCCTTTCATGTGATAAGCAAAGCAGACATGCTACTGATGAACTAACACCCCCTAGCCTCAGTCTTTCTTTGGGGCTGGGGGAGGTAGTTGGGATTTGTGTGTGGTGGTAGTGGTGTTTGTGTTGGGAGTTTTGTTGTTGCTGTTTTGGTTTCTTGGTTGTTTTGTTTTGTTTTGAGATAAGGTCTTATATAGTCCAGGCTGGCCTCCAACCTACTAATTAACTAAGGCTATGAATTCATGATCATTCTTCTACCTTAGAAATTCTGGGATTAGAAATGTGTGCTACTACACTTGCTCCTGTTTTTATTTCTGTTTTAAGGTTTTTGTTTCTGTTTTTAAGCACATAGACATATTGTCTGAATACTTGTGAATTCAAGCATTTTTAACTTTTTTTGTTCTGTTTATCAGTATGTATAAGTTCTTTCAGCCCCATAAAATTCTGATTCATTTTTCTGTTTGTTGGAAACACTATCTTTCCATAGACTAAATTACTATTGTCATTGTACAGAAGCTGCTTCTTTATTCTTGTACTTTGTTCTTCATTTTTTTCCTCTCTAAGTACATACCACATTTTATTGTATATTAATGAGCTTCAGTAAATTTCTTTTCCTCTTGTAATTAAATAATAATAATAATAAGCCATGCATTGGTGGCACGTGCCTTTAATCCCAGCACTGGGGAGGCAGAGGCAGGCAGATCTCTTGAGTTTGAGGCCAGCCTGGTCAACAAAGTGAGTTCTAGGACTACACAGTGAAAACAAAGCTTGGATGTCTTTTGCCATCTGGTTCTCCAGATAAATACCAGTTTGCCTGGTTTACTTGAGCAAATCCTGTTAGAATGTACATTAAATTTGATTGGACTTAAGTTGTTGGTGTTATCTGTTCTGGTTAATTCTTTCTTGCACAGTTGTTCAGATGAGGCTGTCATCCTGTCATTCTCCTAAGTTCTTTTAACACGGGTGTTTTAATTACTTTTCTGTTGCTGTGAAGATATGCCATGACCAAGATATAAGAGAAAACATTTGATTGAGGACTTGCTTGCAGTTTTCAGAGGGTGAGTCCATGGCCATCATGGGGAAGAGCATGACAACAGGCAGGCGTGGCACTGAAGCAGTAGCTAAGAGCTTACTTCTTAACCCACAAGTTGGAAGCATTGAGAAAGCTCAAGGTAACTGGGAATGGCATGAGCTTGAAACCTCAGAACTCACCCTCAGTGACATACTTCTTCCAAGAAGACCATACCTAATCTTTTCCCAACAGTTCCACCAACTGGGAGGTAAACATTCATATATATTAGCCTGGAAGGGGAATTCTCATCCAAATCAACACAATCTACTTTCTGGCCCCCATAGGCCCATGACAGTATCATAAAACAAAATGCATTCAGTTCAACTTCAAAAGTACCCATAGTTGTTTACAGTCTCAACACTATTTAAACATTCAAAGTTTGGGGGCTATTGAGATGTTTAGTGGTTAGAATACTAGCTATTCTTGCAGAGAACCCAGGTTTGATCCCCAGCATCCAATAGCAGCTCAGAACCATCTGTAACTCCAGTCTCAGAGGATCTGACACCTTCTTCTGTCCTCCGAGGGTACTGCACTCACACATACACAAGTTCAAATTCTCTTCTGAGACAGAGCAATCTCTTTAACTGTAACACCCTTTAAATGCAAAAGGCAAGTTATATACCTCCAACATACAATTGTGCAGAATATATATTCCCCATTCCAGAAAGTGAAAGTGTGGAGGTACTGGATCAACACAAGATCAAAAGTAAGCATGGCAAACCCCAAATCTTGGAACTGTAATTGGGGGCTTACTTATAGTTTCAGAGGGTTAGTCCATGAATATCGTGGTGGGTAGCATGGCAATAGGCAGGCATGGCACTGGAGCAGTAGCTGAGATACATCTGATCCACAAGCAGGAGGCAGAGGGTGAGAGCATCAACTGGAACTGCCATGGGCTTTGGAAATGCCCCTAGTGACACAAGTTTTCCAACAAGGCCAAAAGTTCTAATTGTTCCCCAAACAGTTCCACCAACTGGGGACCAAGTAATAAACATACGAACCTATTGTGTCAGTCTCCTTCAAACCACCACCGCCTCTGAGCCATCTCTTCAGCCCTATGTTAATTTTTTTCTTTGGAAAGTTACATCATCACATCCAAAATATCATGACTCTGAAAGTAAAGAGTGAGTATCTGGCCTGACTTAATAGGAAATTTTCTAGGTTTTGATGGGCATGGTGCTAGATTCTACTTTGTTTCACATCAACATTCATCTGAATGAATAAATATTCATCTAGTGCTTTATAATGAATACAAATCAGTAATACTTCCTATTCCTTTGTAGAACCTTCCAAGGTCATTATAGTGGTTTCCCCCCTTTGAACAGTTAAAGGGGGAACAGAGTAGATACAAGAAATGCCTTACCATATGGGTGTATTTTTGTGTTCATAAATGACATTCTGGTTTTCACTGTTTTTGCTATCTTCAAATTTTTTATCTATATCTTGGTCATAAAGCAATCCATGTGTTATTGGATGCTTCTTTTTGTTTTGTTTTTTATTTGTTTTGTGCTCTGGCAGAAGTAGCATTGGAACCACTGTTTCTGTCCCTGTTCACCTATTAGATCCTAGTGCAATCTTTGCTGATGACTGTTAGCCACAACACAAAGGGACTGGAGTCAGTGACTTAACTACACCCTTTCTCTGGACCCTATTTTATAGTTAGGAGTAGGTAACCAAAATACAAGAACATGCAGAAGAGACAGTCTAGCCACATTAGCTGTGAGGGAAATTTGATTTTTATCGTCAAAGAATGGTGTGACATGGCTTTTCACTGCTCACTCTGGTTGGTTTGTAAAGAGCTGTGACAGGACACAGATGGAGAAAGGAAGGAGGCTATAGTAGTCTCCAGGGGTAAGATGAAAATGCCTGATGTGAGAGAGTAGTAACAGGTTTGGAGAGAATTAAAGAACATGTTTGAGTCAAAGGTAGACTGAATGGATTTGGCTATTAATTAGCTAAACTGGACAAAAAAAGTGGGTAGAAATTCCTGTAGGTGAAGAAAGCTTTGAAGGGATTTCCTGTGGCTGTTGTTTATAATATGTATTTTTACTATAAGCACTTTTTCTGGTGCTGGAGACTGATAACAGAGCCTTGTATATGCTAAGCAAGCACTCTGCCACTGGGCTACATCCCCAGCTGGGCATTGCAAGGAAAACTTAACCTGGATTTTTTGAATTAACTTGTTTTGAAGGTATGAAAAGCAGGCTGGAGAGATGTGTTAGGGGGTCATTCATCCTCTTACTCATTGACTTGAATAAGATCCTGTGACGTCAATATGGGAAAATAAATTAGTTTGTGCTCATATTCAGTTGTCATTCTGTAGCCATTCAAAAAAGCACAGCTACATGAATGTCCCTCAAGTGAGACACTTGAAAGATAGCTAGATTTATTCATTAGAAAAACAATGCATAAAGGATATTATTAGCCAGGCACGGTGGCATAAACCTTTATTCAAAGCACTTGAGAGACAGGAATGCTGATCTTTGTGAGTTCCTAACTACCAAGGTAGCTTAGTGAGACACTGTCAAGAAATTAACTAGTACATGAATAAGTCACAATCATAGGAGAGCCTCCAAAAACAAAACACTTTACATTTTTTTTCTTTGTGTATGTGTTTTGCTTATGTGTTTATCTATACACTGTGCATGCAGTTCCCACATAGGCCAGAGGAAGGCATCTGATTCCCTGGGACTGGAGTTAGAGACGGTTTTCAGCCCTCATATGTATATGTGCTGGAAATGGAAACCAGGTCCTCTGGAAAAATAGCCAGTACTATTAACTGCTGAGCCATCTCTCTAGCCCCAATTTGATATTGTCAACTTAAGGAATGAAGCATGAAGAGAACCCTATAAATCATTTCTTGTGGGCTGGGAAGTTGTGTTACACACCTTTAATCCCCGCACTCAGGAGGTAGAGGCAGGCAGATCTCTTGAGTTCAAGGCCAGCCTGGTCTACGTAGAAAAATGCTGTCTTGAAAAATAAAAGCAAACAAAAAGAATATTTTTTTTTTTTTTTTTTTTTTGAGGAAGAGAAACAGATAACTGCTGGATAATGTAGAACAATGTCCACATGCTTGAACAATCATGGAGAATGAAATAATTACAAAAATTTTAGAATACAAACACATGGGAAATAAAGGAACATCATGTATACAGATGTCTAAGGGCTCAGAGCTTTACAGATTTGTTTGAGTGTCCAAAATCTAGAGGCAGAGCTCTGAAAGTTCGAGGCTAGCCTGGTTTATAGAGAGTTCCAGGACAGCCAAGGCAACACAGAGAAACCCTGTCACGGAAAAATAATATTACAGTAAATTTGCTTAGTGTGAGAAAGCCCAATTTCAACTCAGCTTGTACTTGCCTGTACTATTAGATGGCTAAAACATGATATTAGTCTGGATGGGAGTCTTTTTGTGAAATTTCCAATATCTGAGAACTCACTCAAAGGTAAGAAATCTCACAAATATGATTGTGGCAGGAATGGCTTTTCACTTAAGTTGATCTTATCTTGAGAGAATTTATACTAGATATCCACCAAAAAAAATTACAGTTTTGTGTTTGGAAAATTTTTTATACCAAGTAATATAATCTAAGAACTATGAAACCATGAGAATATGCATGATATAGAAGTACTTCGATATGTAGTTCTCTTATTTGGCATCACAGTTGTGCTAGGGATAACCTTAAGAATGTAATCACTATTGGGAAGGAACTGAGTGTTATGAAACCCAACAGAGATTCCTTTGAGCATGACAATTTGGGAGACTTCAGTAGGAGTCCTCGTAGTATTCTATATCAGAGGACTCATATGGGCAAGAACCCTTTGGATGTATTCTATGGGGAGATCATCAGCTTTAGTGACTACATTATCTGAGATTGAGAAAATACTCAATTAGAAAGGATAACAGTAAGATAAGTGAAATGAAGTGAGTTCAGGACAGCCAGGACTACACAGAGAAACCTTCTCTCAAGGAAAAAAAAAAAAAAAAGAAGTGAAATATCAGAGATTATTAAAAAAGAAAGCAAGTTCTATAAATTCCAATTTGTTATCAAGCTTGGAGCTTAGTAAGAAGGTACCCACAGAGTGAATAAATATCTGAAGAAACCACAAGAAACAGGTATGTTTTCAAAGGGAATTCCAGTATGAGTCCAAGCTTTGAGAGAGCAAAGAGAAATTTTGAGGCAGGTAGAGTGGCCATGTATTTGGTGTAGGGCAATGGTTCTCAACATTCCTAATGCTGTGATCCTTTAATATACTTCATGTTGTAATGACCCCATCCTTTAGATTATTTTTGTTGCTACTTCATAACTGTAATTTTGCTACTGTTATGAGTTGTAAATATCCAATATTTCCAATGATCTTAGGTGACCCCTGTGAAAGGGTGTCATAACCTACAGGTTGAGAACCACTGGGATAGAGCCTAGTTAAGTAGTGTGTTTGCATGGCTTGTTGAATTTTGTTCAAATATACCTTTCTTCTCTCATATATTTGTTCTCTGTGACCTTTGTATACTATCCGTCATCTCAAATACATATATCATGATTCTTTTAAGTGGATACCATTCTCTAGCATCCACACTTAAAATATACAGTAACGGGAAAGTTTGTAATATATTGCTAAAACCAGTGAACAAAATTTTGAAGCAAATATGAGGAATGATGAGGGGGAGACATGTATCTCAAGCTGGCCTCAATTTTACTATGTTACCAGGCTTGACCTTGAACATCTGATCCTCCTACCTGTAACTCTTGTGTGCTGGAGTTACAAGGCATGCATTACAGTGCCTGGTTTTAATGCACTGCTGGTAGTTGAACCCAGGGCTTCCTGAATGGTAGGTAATTTTCTCCCAACTGAGTTACATACCCAGCCCTATTTTTGTTTTTTAGATGAATCTGTCTCTGTGGCTCTATTTGGCCTATAACTCATCATGCAGATGATGCTAGATGCTTATTTGTAGTTTCCCCTCCTGCCGCTACATTCCAAGAACAGTGGTTACAAGAGTGTGCCTCACTGCCTAGCTTTTGCTCTGGTTTTAACTTTTAGAATGTTCCATACCTTCTCTGGACCCTGGAGTAAATTCCTTTCCTGCTGAGAATCCTCTGATGAATATCAATGTTGTTGAAGTCCTTACACTGAACAAGGATGTGGCTGGTCCCCGGAATGCCCTGATTCAATCTCTTTATCCTGAACATGGAGAAGACCTGAGCCCAGGTAAACTCAAGACAGCTCAGCAGGCTAGCAAGCATTTGGCTGACCCTGAAACTGCTCATCAGAAGTTCCGACATTTCCAGTATGAAGAGTCAGCTGATCCCCACAAGGCTGTGTCCCAGCTTCGTGAGCTGTGTCACCAGTGGCTGCAGCCCAATACACGTTCAAAGAAGCAGATCCTGGAGTTGCTGGTGCTTGAGCAGTTCCTTAGTGCACTGCCTGAGAAGTTTCGGGTGTGGGTAGAGTCACAGCACCCAGAGGATTGCCAGGCAGCAGTGGCCCTGTTGGAGAATGTGACCTCAGTATCTAAGGAAGATGGTGAGTGTCATGGAAGAATGAGGTGAAAAATGGCTTTTGAAGGAATGCGGAGTGCCGGGGTGATTAAGGATGGGTTGTTTCCACTCCAGACCACAAACATCTGTGTCTTCCAGAGCCAATAGAAGCCTGAAGTGGTTGGTATCCAGCCCTTTTCTCCCAAACAAAAATCTTCTATGGGCTTCAATGGAATCTCATAGATGCAGTGGGGTTTTTTGTTGTTTGTTTTTAACCCTGTTGGGATCTCTGACAACAACCAACCTTCCAATTCTTTGAAGGGGCTGTGAATGAAGTTGTAACTAAGGGAGGACTCAAGAGTTTACTGAGTCTGTGGACCTACAGAAAAGATGAATGCACATGTGGTGGTACTAAGGTAGTAAAGAGGTCAGGATACTGGTGGAGTTTATGGAGGCTGTTTCTGACACTGATACCTGCTGTAACTAGACTGATGAAGAAAGGAGGCAGAATGGATGAGCCAAGAATTTTGGGTAGCCTGTAGAAGTTGAAAAGGCAAAGAATGGGTTCTTTGTTATATCCAAAAAGAACATAGCCCTGTTAAGTCTTATAAGGCAGTGATGATGATGCCAGAGCTCTGTTCTCTGAAATCTTAATATATTTTGCCAGACCTGATGGCATGGCTTATCAAGAGGCCAAGTCCAGTCACCAGTCAGGGCCTGCCTGGGCTACAAGTGAGTTTAAGGCCAGCATGATCAATTTATCATGACCCTCTCTCAAAATAGAAAAGGACTGGGGTTACAGGAATGGAACACTTAACTAGCATGCACAGCATTCTGGGTTTAATCCCCATGATTCTGAAGGGGGAACAGTTTATGACAGTTACCAGAATTTCACTTCTGCCCAGAAGCTACATTTAAAAATATGGACATGGTCATGCATGCCTATAACCACACTATTAGAGTGGGTGGAGATAGGAAGGTCATGAGGATTTGCTGGCCTCCAGCCTGGCTTCAAGTTCAATGAGAGACCCTGTTTCAAAGGAATATAGTAAAGAATGATGTAGCAGGACACCAGGCATCCTCACCCGGCGTCCACATGCACCCATACACACATGCATATACCAAATAAAACCCAGTGAAGTGGCACTAAGAAGAAAAGTTTACTGGAAGAATTCCAGTGTCCTCTAGAATTAAGAGCTTCAATACAAGCCTTATTCCCTCTTATATGTCTCATTTGGCTGCCTTCAGCTGGCTTTATTCCCGTTAAGGCTTCCAAACAGAGGATTGCATTTTCCTAAGTGTTCCAGCAAAAGCTTCATTTTCTCTAAAAGTATGGTCTCCCATGTCTACCAGAATTCCATTTACTATGGCCAAGGTGAAGTGATAGCATGGTGGACCAGCCTGGGTCACATCGTTTGTCCCCATGCTAGCTGGAGTAGAATCAGCATTGTAAAAGCCCATAGAGCATCCTTAGAAGGGCTGTTAGTTCTGGCCAGGGATATAGAATGTGACCAGAAGCATAAAATGGCTACACACTCTGTAACCAAGGGAAGATCCTTCTCTTCTCCAATGCAGCAAAAGGGAAACCACACAAGCATGATAAGGACTTGGAGACTAGAAACAGACTTTACCACTAAGGAAAAGATATGAAGCCATTGCCTCTGAAGCCAGAGCCTCAAACAGATGCTGGAATGGGAAGACTAAGTCTCCCAATGGTCCATACAGTGTAACACACTGGGCCCATCCATTTATGGGAATTGGTTACCCATTGTGAAGAAGTCACATGGGACATGAGTATGCATAGGTCAAGGGTTGCAGGGCCTGGTAGTTCTATCTGCCTGAGGGCTACCACTCCATTGATCCTTTATGTGCCATCTTCTCCAGCTCTGCCTGCCTGCTGTAATGAGGCTACTGGTCAACTGAAGGAGAAAAAGAAGGACTTGACTACCTTACCAATTATTGTACCACCTGAGGTAAGCAAGAACCCTACCTTTTGTTTCTTTGGTCAGAGTTTCCTTTAAGGGGCCTACCCCCTAAGATGTCCCCGTCTCCACTAAGTTTTACTGAGGCTTCACAGAAGGTTGGCCATTTTAACTTTGTGAGTTCTTGGGACTGAGCAGAATTCTGAAACAACCCAAATGTAAAGGGTGACCCTGCCTCCTGACATTGTGACCTGAGTATAGAGAAAGAAAAAGGCAGGAAGATTAAGAGGACCAAGGCTGAGGGACATGAGAAGCAGAACAATTACAGGTAGGCTATGAGAACCACATTGTACCCTAGCTAGAACGAGAGAGCTCTTGTCCTTCAGAGACACTTTATTGGGGAATTAGGAATGAAATAGCACAGGCTTAGATCTGTCTCAGAACTGGGTGCTATGCATGCAGTAGGATTAGCCCCATTAGTCAGCATGATAGTGTGTATTTGGCATCAGTCAGTGCTGTTTGCTCTGTGTGTGGTTTATTGGCTCAGGTTTGTAATTGGGATTGTTGGCTCTCATGTAATGGGCAGTGTACTATTGTACCCAGGCAAGGATGCTGCTTGGGAATGGGAAGAAACTGATTAATCCCAGACTCATTGTTCTGTATTCTGATCCTTAAAAGGTAGGCTCTTTTCCACCTTGGCAAAATACCTCCTAGATCTAAACAAGTTGATGAAGTGAAAGAGTCTTCCTTTCAGAATCCCTTACTGCTCATTAAAAAAAAAAAACAAAAAAAAAAACAAAAAAACAAAAAAAACTGATAGAACATAGGTGAATACTTTATATAGGTCATGCTTGTCCATGAAGACAAGGACTTCATGTACATGGTGGGTTTTGCCCTATGGAACAAGGCTGTTTTCAGACAGAGAAAGTCCTTTGGTGGGATGTTGTCCTTATGGTGCAAGTTTGATATAGATGCTAATATGATGTGCTTATTGCACTTGTAGCTTTTGGTCAACTAGGAGCTCTGCCTACCAGATTGGGACCCAGACTTTGGTTTAGAGAAATACCCTATGGATCTCTTTTGGACTTCAGAAGTCATTATCTCTAAGCAAACCACCAAAGTAGAGGAATCCCTATCTGTGGTAGGATGTCCCAGTGGCCTTTCTTCTGTCCCTATTGACAAATATCAAACTTCTATAACATTTCAGGAGCCAGTGACCTTCCAGGATGTGGCTGTGGACTTCAGTCAGGAAGAATGGAGGCTACTTGGTCCAGTACAGAGGACTGAGTATCATGATGTGATGCTAGAGACCTTGGAAAACTTGGTCTCTGTGGGTAAGGCTGTGCCTACATTTAGAATAACACAGGGTCCCCTCAGGTGTCTCAGTTCTTCTATACCCATTGTCAGAACTAGCTGCGCTCTCGAGGGTCTCTTGCTCTGCTGATGATTATTAATATTTAATATTGATTTGTCTTTTAGTTAAACAGCAGTTATTCCTAAACTAGCTGTATTCCCAAATCACCACACAAAGACTAGGATTTATTTAATTAACCTAAAGCACAATGCAGGGCAATAATTATTCCATCCTAAACCTCCAAGCCCACATAGCTTCCTTCTATTTAGATTTCCCACATTATACTTGCTTCTTAATCATATCTTAGGTCCAGTTCATTTCTCCTGATGTTTCCATGTCCTCTCTCCGAGCTCTCCTCCCTCTTTCTCCTCCCCTCCCTCTCCACTTAGCATTGGCTGGTTGTTTTTATTGGCAATACAGAGGACAAATGGTAACATGTTTACACAAACTTGAGACAGGTGATGGCTTAGAATAAGTACTAAAATGCAATGTCAGGATGGAAACCAGATAGTGGGGTAGAGAAATCAGCATTTAAATGAACAAGATTAAATTGTATATATTCCACAAGAACATACCAACACTCTGTCCAAGACCTAATCTGGAACTGTGACACTGCATGGGAAGGGATCCTTGAGTGCAAAGACAGCCTCAGGTTTAGTTTACCTGGAGGAATGAGAGAAAGTTCCTTGCCCTCACCCAATGTCTTGGTCACTAAACTGTTTGTTCCTGGTTTTGCTGCTTCATAGCTTGTCACTCCCTAGACTGAATGACTATTTGAGAAGAGCATGTAATCTCAATTTTAAATACTGTTTGTTACATATCATTCTGGCATTGTTAACTGCAATATACATACCTTTTCATTTCTTTCAGGGTGGGAGCCTACATTAGGAAACAGAGAGCTAACTCCAGATTCTCCCATTCCTGTGGTAGAACCAATTCGCCGCCCAAAACCAAATGATTTCTTGTGGGATGGTAACCAGTCCACTGTCTTTGAATGTATTGCACAAGATGGGGTCCAAGAAATCCATACCACAGAAACAAATCTAGAACTTGTGCAGGAAAAAGCCTGCCCTCAGAAGAAGCTCTCTGAAAGCTCCGAGTCTCAGGAGCAAACTAGTCTTCACACAAGCCAGAGCTCACTCAGTGACATTCTTCCTAGAAAGCATTTGCGTGTAAAAATTAACCGGAGGGGCACCAGAAATCGGAAAGCCAGGGAAAACACCATTTCCATGACAAGAGATTTACCCATAAGAAATCAGCAAAAGGGTTCTGTGGGGTGGCAAGGCAGAGATGGCAGCAACTCCACAACAGATGGTTTACCTATAAAAAAACAACAGAGTTCCAAGCGGAGTAAAGTTGGGGACAGCAGAGATTACATTATACTTGCTGCACCTGCCAAAATGTGCCAGAAAGCCACTGGCTCTGTAGCAGGTAGAGTCAGAGACAGTAGCAATACCATTGTGCCTGATGCACATAAAAAAATCCACCAGAAAGGCTCTAAACGGGGTAAAGTTGGAAAAAGCAGCACTTTTATGTCACAAGGTTCATTTGTGCAAAATCACCAGGTGAGGTTTGGGGCAGGAAGAGCCATGGAGAGCAGCAGTTCCTTGAGACATGCCTTACCTGTAAAACCTCACCAGAAAGGCTGGGAAGTGGGTAAAGTTCAAGGAAACAGGAATTCCTTGAAACATGTAAAAACTCAACGGAAGGATTCTAAAGGAGGAATAGTCAGGGAAATTAGCACTTCCATAAAACACAGTTCCCATGTGAAAACTCATCTGAAGACCTCTGAAAGAGGCAAAGGCAAGGAAATCAACACTTATATAAAATATGGTCCTCATGTGAAAACTTACCAGATGGGCTCTGAAGAGGGGCAAAGCAGGAAAGGCAACAATTGTGGAAAAGCCATCAAACGACATGCTCAGCAGATATTTTTTGTAAAAATTCACAAGGGGAGCCAACTTTGCCGGTGCAGTGAATGTGGTAAAATATTCCAGAATTCTAGGTACTTCTCTGTCCATAAAAAGATCCACACAGGAGAGAGGCCTTACAGGTGTGTGGCCTGTGGGAAAGCATTTGTTCAGAGCTCCTCCCTTACACAACATTATAGAATTCATAGTGGAGAGAGACCATTTGAGTGTCCGGAGTGTGGGAGGACCTTCAATGACCGCTCAGCCATGTCTCAGCACCTGAGAACTCATACAGGAGCTAAGCCCTACCATTGTCAGCACTGTGGGAAAGCCTTCCGCCAGAGTTCCCACCTTACGAGGCATGAGAGAACTCACACTGGGGAGCGCCCATATGTGTGCAACAAGTGTGGGAAGGCTTTTACCCAGAGCTCACACCTTATCGGGCATCAGAAAACACATGGGATAAAGTTCAAGAAGAAGCAGCCCAAATTGTAGCCCTAGTGCCTTCCAATGCACTGCCTTTTTAGCCTTGAGATGAACTCTGCAGACATTGAGTAAGGAGAGTCCAACACTCAGAACACCACCCAGTGGGCAATGAGTGAAACTATCAGGGAATTCTTAGTTGCTTAATTTAGCCATTAAATGATATATGAAATCTCAAAATACCCCTAAGTTTAAAACGCCAATTACCAAAAACTGCACTGATAATTTTATATACAGGGTAATGTGTGTTGAGTGACAAAAATTAAAGAGTATGTAGATAAATAAACTATTTGTGTTGAACTTTTTGTTTCCTGCTGTGATGGCTTTCATGGTTGTCAACGAGGCTACATTTGGAATTAGCTAAGTCACAAATGCTGTGTATACCTGTGGGGAATTTTTCCCCTAATTAAATCATTTGAAGTAAGCAGCCCCACTTATAATCTGGATCTTTTGAGGTGAGAAGATCCAACTTCAATACAGATGTTTTGAAGTGGCAACAATCTTTTAATCTGGGCTGCATCTTCTACTGGCAGTATATATAAAGGACATGGAAGAAGGAAACCTGGCCCTTTTGCCTGTTTGCTAATTAGTCTATTCCTTCACTGGCATTAGAGCTTACTTTGAGATTCTGGCATGTACCACCTGAGACATCCAGCCTTGTGAACTGAACCACTACTGGTCCTTCCATTGGTAGGCAGTCTTTGTTGAACTAGATCATAGCTTGTAAGTCATTCTAATAAATTCATTTATTCACATGTGTATCCATATAATAGGAGAGAGATTCATCCTATCAGATCTGCTCCTCTAGGGAACCCTTACTTAAGATTTATTTATTTTGGTTTTTCAAGACAAGGTTTCTCTGGATAGGCCTGCCTGTCCTAGAACTCACACTAAACAAGGCTGGTCTCAATTGCAAAGATCCATTTACCTCTGCCTCCCAAGTGCTAGGATGAAAGGTTTGAACCACCACTGTCCAGCAATTAAGAATCTTTTTAGTGTTGTTGATCTCATGTTTAAATGAGCAGCGTTAAAGCAAAAAGACTTATAAAATAGTTCTAGCAGATCTGTACAGGTAGGTAATCTTCAAGACTCACTGGAGTTAGAGGCTTAGAAGTCTATAGTGAGTCCAGGGGCACACGGGAATGTCCTCTGGCTTTACATTTTCATTTTTCCCAAAAGACCAGTTCTGAGAGAAATTTCCCAGCAAGTTGCTCACTATGTTAAGTAACAAAACACTGGCAACACCAGGGCATGTGTTTGATGCCCACTTCCGAATTTGATTAAAAAAAAAAATCCTAGTCAAAAATATTAATGTCTCAGCTAAGGGGGCCTGCCTCTGAACCTGATAAGCTGAGTTTAATCCCTAAGGACCCACACAGTGGGAAGAGAACTGATTCCTGCAAGTTGTCCTCTGATATCCACATGTGTGCCTGGTGTGCAATTACACTAAGGAAAACTAGAATTCTTTAGGGTTGGAGAGATGTCTCTGGTTAAAATTTCTTACTGCTCTTGCAGAGGACACCATTTTGGTTCCTATTTTCCTTCCATATTTAAAGGCTCAAAGCCACTTGTAACTCTAGCTCCAGGGCATCTTAACACCCTCTGGACAATTGGCACCTGCACTCATACCCATATAGGCACACAATTTTTTTTTTCATCTCCAAATGTATGATCTCAACCCTTTTCCCAGGGTTCCATGCTGTTTTAAGTTTGTTGTGACATTGGAAGCAAATTCCAAAGCTGAGGTTTAGGCCCAGTCAGGGAGCATGTGCTTTGCATATATGAAACTCAGGTTCAACTCCCAACACACACCTGTAGACTTAGATTTTTCAAACACCTACTTTATTTAAGGTTCTTCAATGCCTTTACCTCCCAACCTTCCTGCCACCCAACCTTAGGTAGGAAATTAGTAGGGAAAGAGGTTTTAGATCATTTCTATCTAATTCCTGCTGATTAGGGTCGGTAGGTCCTTAAGGAATTACCAAACCCAGTTGTAAGGATATCAACCGTCTAGTCAAACTGCAAAGCAGCAGCAGAACAATTCAGCTGAAATGGCTAGACTCCACCAAAACACAAGTCCGCCCGAGCATAAAAACTCCAAAGAAGCAGCAAAACTCTGCTAAAGCGGCAAGAACAGTTCTTAGAAGCATTTCTCTGTGAAGACCACTAAAGGATGGAACTGTTGCAAAGTGTTGTAATACAAAAGTGTAGAGATACAGAAATCATGGGCTTCTATTTAACCCTTCTCAGTGCACATAAGGATCTTTTGCAGCTTACAAAAACCACACCCCTTGCACATGGTAGCTTTCAACTGACCAATGTCATGGCCTCTCACTGTTTCCAAGGGGGAATAACATTGCCACATCCCACTTGGGACCCAAACAAAAAAACATAACCACATGACACAACTGAGTTTCCAAAGAAACCAGAAACTTCCACATCACACCCCGAAGGTAAATGCCTCACTTTTCTCTGAAGCAAATAGGACCTGGAGCCAGGACCAGAGAAAACATACATGCTGTAAGGGCAAGGGTATGGAAAGGGGGCCACCAGGAGACACATGAGGCATAGTGTGTTACTTTCAGGGGGTGTTCTATTTATTTCAGCCACCTGATAAGGTCTGTTAGCATTTTCGAAATAGGGCTTCAGTTTGCCCAAAGATGTGTTAAACTGGTACATTACTCCACATTATTGCCTATCAAGTATGAAACAAGTGTTGGACTAGAGATCAAAACCCACAAATCTCATTTTTATGGTTCTCTAACACTAAGATGGGCCTGTCCAATGGTGAGGAGCTAAAAGCAGTGAAGAGATGGAGCTTTGAGAAACATACATCATAGATTGTCTGGGTTAGAAGCCATGGCTCCTGGGACACTGTAAACCTACCTGTTTCTGAGAAACCAAGGCACTCCCTCAGGCATTAAAACACTCTGGCTGCCTTAAAACCTTCTATCCCTACCTGGTTAAGATTCATTTTTCATCAGCCAAATCAGGTAACCTTGGCCCACTGAAAGTAATTGCTGTTACCTACACTTAGCAGCACTAAAAGTCTTGCTACATTGTAAATTAAACAAGGCAAAAATGACTTACACATTTTTGAATTGAAGATTAATATTGTCCACTAGATAAGTCATTTACTATGTTCATGATTTATAATAAATCAGGCTTCATCTAGTTTTTGCTTTTATGTTTTCATGGTTAAGCCTAGAATGGGTAACTAAATATCAACACAGTTTGTTTGGCTCAGCTATACTTAATAGATGGAAGGTCCTCGGGACACTTTAGAGATCTGCTGAATATGGCATCTAAATATTTAATGAAAAAGCTTAATATGACAGAGACCCCAGCTCCTAGGGGTGACTCTGAGGTCTCCAAGAAAATATGGGTATGATGACAAAGGACTGCACCCAAATTGTGGTATGATAACCACTTGGCAAGACTGCCCCACTGCCTTGCCTGCTGCTAGGGCCCGGCCTGAAATGGACAAAGAGGACACCCAGAGAGCTCATTGTCTCATGTTGCTAAAAACGAGGTGAAGGCAGTCTGCCAAGTTTCTCCTCCACAAGAAGGTCTCAGATTTGCTGGGCCTAGCAGCCAAAGACTGATGCTGCCCTGAGACTTGTGTCTCTACTGAAGCCATTAAAATGACTGGAGCCTAATGGGATGGCTGTCTAGATACTGGATAAGCCTCTATCATAGTAATTAATATATATATGCCATTACATTGCAATTTAACCTCAGGTCTCTGGTAGGTTTTAGGATCAGTTTAACAGCAAAAACCAAGGCTTCAGCTGCTTTCTCAGAATATATAAAATTTATATAAGGTCTAAAGATTTTAAAAGATTTTAAGGTTGGTAAATGCAAGTTATAAAGGTTAGAGGAATTATAAAAATATTTGAGGGCCTAAGAAGGTGCCTTAAATGTAAGCTATGAAGGTCAGAAAAAATGTTTGGAGGTCTAAAAAGATGTTTTAAAGTTGGTAACTAAAAATATGTTTTAATGTTGATATTAAGATTGGAAGATTAAAAAACATCAATAATGATAAATGATTTAAAATACTATTTTATTAAAAGTGTTCAGAACATTAACATTAATCAGATTTTTAATTGTTCCCCAAGCCATACTGTCTCCTTTTGTAAACTTTAAAAGATTCTGTAAGCTTCAGAAAATGACTTGGAGCCACCTGCTACAAGTCAAACATCCTCCAGATAAGTAATTTACCTGCTCCTGAAAATGGAAAATGTCCCTGGTTTTGGGATTATTCACTTTCACCAATTACTAAGAAAGTCTAATTCTGTCCCTAGTCTTATATTTGCTTCAGCACATTTTCATTTGGCAGACACACTCCATTCAGGGATCACCTGAGGACTGCAAACTGCTGAGCTCTGGAAAAATCGGCCAAGATTACATCTTAATGCTGAACACACATGCCCCAAATGAAAGAGCACCCACATTTGTAAAAGAAGCATTACTAAAGCTTAAATCACACATAGAATCCCATACATTAATAGTAGGAGACTTTAACACACCTCTCTCACCAATGGACAGATCATTGGTAGATGAAAACTAAACAAAAAATAATAATAATAATAATGAAACTAACCAACATTATTAATCAATTGGACCTAATAGATATCTACAGAACATTCCATCCAAACACAAAATAATATACCTTCTTCTCATAACCTCATAGAACTTTCTCCAAAATTCACCACATGCTCAGACACAAACCAAGCCTCAACAAATACAAGAAAATTGAAATAACACTTTGTATTTTATCAGACCACCATGGATTAAAGCTAGACTTCAACAACAACAGAAACAACAGAATGCCTACAAACTCATGGAAACTGAACAACTCTCTATTTAATGACCATTGGGTCGGGGAGGAAATAAAGAAATTAAAGACGTTCTAAAATTCAATGAAAATGAAGGCAAACACACTCAGACTTATGGGACACAATGAAAGCAATTCTAATAGGAAAGTTCATTGAATTAACTGCCTTCATAAAGAAAGTGGAGAGCACTCATACTAGCAACTTACCAGCTCACCTGAAAGCTCTAGGGGAAAAAAAAAAAAAGGAAGCAAACTCACCCAAGAGGAGTAGATGGCAGGAAATAATCAAATTCAGGGCTGGAATCAATAACCTAGAAAGAGATCAATACAAAGAATCAACAAAACCAAGAACTGACTCTTTGAGAAAACCAACAAGATAGACAAACCATTAGCCAAACTAAATAAAAGACAAAGGGAGAGTATCCAAATTAATACTACAATCTACAGACATAAAGAAACTAAATAACA